AAATAAATAAAATCTTAAAAAAAAAAAAAAAAAGAACTAACTAAGTAGAAAAATTAACCACATACCTTTTAGCAATTTCCTCTTGAGCCTTAGTTATTTCTGCTTTCATTTCACTTTGTGAGGGCAATGTCTTTAGCCCTAAAGAGGAAAATCAAAATTTTAAGTGTAAAATTACCTCACTGGGAATAATAATCCTATTAACAATCACTATGCCATGCAGAACTCAAAGAAATACAGGATAATTTTCTGTACCCAAGGAGGTTATAATTCACTAGATCACCTTACCCCATCATCACCACAATATGACATTAACAACAGTAACTTACTCCATTCTACTTTGTCTTTGGAAGATATTTCTCCTATTCTACCTTCTAACCAATACCTTCCTCCTCCCTAACATCATCTTCCTATTTGGGAAATTAAATAATGGACATGAGGAGATAATAAATGGTCCCAAAAGTATATGAAAAATAAAGAAGGAAGTAAAAGGGCAGGGTGGGGGAACCACGCCCACATTTGTACTCTTTGTAATAAACAGGCTTTATACCACAGGGAAAGAAGGAAAAATTCTTGATCCCATTTTATGCCTAAAGTCCTATAAAGATCAGCTTTTTCCTATTCTGCTTGGATTCTTCACAATTTCAGAGGCAGCCCATTCCATCTTGATACGGCAATAGCTGACCAAAAAAAAAAAAAAGGTTGGTGTGTTTGTTTTTAATGTTAAGCTGATTTTGTGCAACCCTCAAAGTTTCACTCCTTGGTTCTGGTTCAACCCTTTGAAGTGATACTGAGCAAATCAGATCCTTCTGCCATGGGACATTCTTCAAACCTTCGAAGGGAACGCTCATATTGCCCCTGAATCTTATCTTCTCTAGGTAAACCTCTCTGGCTCCTTCAGTTGTAGTTCAAATGTTGTTTTTAAATCCCTTAACCATTCTTGTCTCTCTCCTTTTCATGCACCCCAGTTTCACTTTTAAAATATGTCTTTGGGAAAAGTAAAATAAAATAAAATAAAATAAAATAAAATAAAATAAAATAGGTCTTTGGGTATGTGCTGACCAGTTTAGACAAGAACAATTTAAGTTCTTAGAGAAGAACAATTTAAGTTCTAGGATATTATAATTCTTTAATGCTGCTAGAGATAATTAAGCCTTTTAGAAGCTATATCATTCTCCTGACTCATATTTAGCCTATTATCCCAAACCCCAAAGTTTTTTCTCATGTTCTCCTAGCCAAAACTGAAAGAGGAGATATAAAAGGGGGAAAGTAGGAATTTGAGAGGTTGACTGTTATACATTATGGACTAGTCTTTAACCAGGTCTTAATTTTTGGCTGAAATCAAATCACACCATTTCTATATTTGCTTTTCCCTATAATGAAAGATTACATTCTTTTGCTTCACAAACATGTATCAGTTGTCTAAAATCTAGATGAGTGGATTCTACTCTGGAGTGCCCATTGGAATCAGTGGAGGAATATTTTCTCAGAGATCTTATGTCTGCCCCACTTAGATTTATCAAATAAACACCACCAGGCAAAGCATACCTATTTTGGGAAAATTTCCCAGGAGATTCCAATATATGTCTACAGTTCTAAGTTATTACTTTATGTTCACTCAAAAATAATTTTTGAGCACTGATTTTATGGCAGGCACTGTTACGGTCATACATACTGTTTAGCTATTTAAAAGCAAGAACATAAACATAATTAAACATACCACTAAGTAGTTAGGGAGTCAATTTGCACGGTCACTTACCTTTAAATACTTGAGTGACCCAGCGTCCTTGCAGCTCTGAAATGGGCATAATGGCACCCAAGGGCTGGATCAAGCCTATGATTGCAAGAGTTGGCTTTTCCAGGTTTGGAGGGAAGACCTTTTTATATAGGGAAATCTTGTTTTTGACTACTTGGACAGAATCTTCAAGAAAAGGGAAGGCAAAGGTATAGCCTGTGGCAAAGATGACAGCATCCACGTGGTCCTCCCTGGAGCCATCGTCAAATATGGCAGCCGTTTCTGTGAATTCCTTCACGTTTCCTTTCACCTTCACCAAGCCAGATATTATACGATTTGGCAGGTCATCATTCACCGTTGGATGTTGACTCAGAGCTCTGTAAGTGGTGATAAAGATCAGAAGAAAGAGAAATGCGGGACACAAAAAGGGGTATCAGTAACATGTCAGTAAAATTCTACGTTGATGGAGGTGGTTAAACAATATGCTAATGGTCTCCCTCTGGTCTAGCCATGAAATTTGGGAAAGCTCTAACGTATACCAGCTTGGCACAGGTTAGAATCTCAGAGCAGAAGTTGGGACCTGGATGGCATTGAAAGAGAAGACGGGGCGCTTGGGTGGCTTAGTTGGTTAAGCGTCTGCCTTTGGCTCCGGTCATGATCCCAGGTTCCTGGGACTGAGCCCCACATCGGGCTCTCTGCCAGTGGGGGGTCTGCTTCTCCCTCTGCTCCTCCCCTGCTTGTGCTCTCTCTCTCTAATAAATAAAATCTAAGAAAAAAAGAAAGAGAAGACATTGGAGAAGTAAAAGAAGAATGGTCTTATTTGAAGAGTGTATATATGGTTTCTCAAGGAATAGTAGTAATATTCTCAGTGATATGATAAGGCCACAGGCCCATAGATTCTATGCACAGATCAATAGGTCTGGAGAACTGGACTATCTGCATTCTATTGAGTCTCATTTCTAGTTTCAAAGTCCCAAGAGCTAGAATTAGACCATCATTTTCAAATGACATGTATATAGTGATTTATAGTTATAAATTGATTCTATATACCTTCACTTATTTGAGTCTCACACAAATCCAATGAAGGAGGCAGGACAGGTGTCATTATCCAAGTTTAGAGATGAGGAGATTGAGGCCTACAGAAGTGGCTTGCCCAAGGTTACACAGACTAGGATTTTAGAATTTATGTCAAATTGGTTTTCCATGAATTCCCTTGGGAGCCTCTGGGCCTGTTAAGTAGTATTTTCCTAGAGACGGCAGAGGATAAGACTGCCAAAAAAAAATAGGGTTTCTAGTGTCTTGGACCTTCCTAAAAATCAGTCTGGATCCTTGGGCCCTTAGTTAATAGGCTCTGAGATTCTCAGCACAGCATGTTCAGACAGAGCTGGCCAAGCCTCAGCAACATGGCATTACTGTTACTGGTTTGTTGCATTTAGTTATGCTTTGACTCTAACCGTTAGAGTTTAGGTACAGATTCTGTTCTTATTCTGACCTCATGATTTCATCTTTCTCTGTAAGCTTACTGCTTTTCACAAACAGTACCACCATCTACATAGTCACCTAAGCCACAAAACTGGAGTCTTCTACCTGGTCACACGGGCTTTTCCCTTTCTCCACTTAGTATCTTCAGAATAGTTTTTTTCTATTTTCTATCTTACCTAGACTATTACAATTGTCTTTAGGGCCTCCTGCTCCATCCCCCTTCAGTCTATCTTCTACATCATTTTTGGAGTGGTCGTTCCAAAATGTATTTATTATTAGGTCACTCACTTGCTTGAAATCTTTCAATGCCTCTGGACTCTTCATTCCAAATGTTTTAGTTAGCAGAGTATACAAAGGTTTTTGGGTTTTTTTTTTCTTTTTCTAAATGTTTTATTTATTTATTTGACAGAGAGAGACACAGCAAGAGAGGGAACACAAGCAGGGGGAGTGGGAGAGGGAG